ATACCTATACTAATTTAGGAATACCTCGTATAGATACTATAGTAGTCCTATAAAGCTCGATAATATTAACCGATAGAATAATAAGCAGGGCAGGAAAGATATAAGCAAAGTTAAATACTATAATTACGATAAAATAGGCCACTTCGCACGTAATTACTAATAGCCTAAAAGAGAACGATCGTAATAATAGACTAATACGATCGGAAAAGAGAAACCCTAGAAGAAAATTAACGCTATTAGATACCTAGAAATTTATAGGGACGAAACACTATACGCTAACCTCTATTAGATAACCTACTACGATAACTATTATCTAATATACTAAAAAGAGAAGGACGGAGCTAGGTACTACCCTAAAAGACCCTAGAAGATACTCGCTATAGTATCTAGTAATAAGTACGATAACGACTATAGCCTTAAAATCCCCGACTAGGATAATAATAGACTAGCTTTATAAACTACCGCGGAAATCCTCTAGGAACACGGATAGATAAAAGAAGAAGCTAAGAGATAGGAGCAGATCTTAGAGATCTAGAAGAAATAGGAAGTCCACACGAACACTAGTAGTGGAGGCTTTAGCGCCCTCTAGGAAGTAGGACTCACTCCCGAAGAGAAACACTAACTTAAGAAAGAAGATTATACACGTTACGTATAGGAGAAAATCGCTAAACTCGAAGAGTAAGATTAGGAAATAGAGTCTAACGGAGTTCCGGATAATAACACGAACTTCTAGTATTAACTTATAGAAGTAGCCGACCTAATTAAGGAGGAAACTATCTAGCTACGGATACACGATTAGCTCGTAGAAGAACCACTTAGGTAAACCTACTAAGTCGGTTTTACTAAGTTCGGCTTTAATAACGCCTACTATAAAGTACCTACGAATACTAGCGAAGAATAGTAATAAACCGTATATTAGCGACCTTACTATACTTAGGAAGACCGAGATACTTTTACCGGCCTAATAATAAGCCTATAAGGATTAAATAATTAACTACCTAAGTACTAAACGTATAAGAAAGGATAGATAATACATACTAACTATCTAGGCTATAGCCTAATCCTTTAGGCTAATTATATCGAGGATATATACTCTATATATAAGAAATATAAATAAGCTAATAATTTTTAGCCTCGGAATAAAGAACGGATCCTAGAAGATAGAGTCTATTTAAAGAGATAACGTAATAACTAGGTTATCACGGAAACCAGGAATAAAGGATATAAGATTCGCCTCTAACCACCTAAAAACGACTACTATAAGTATCGGTTAAGCGAATACAAAACTAATAGCTATATAGTATACGCTACCGGAAAAATCCGATAACTAGAGTAAGACTAAGAAGCTTAGGAGTCACGTTTCTAGGCCCTTCGATAAGCGCCTATAATAGATAGACTAGCTCTTAATCTAGTATAGGTTCTTAGATAAAGAAATATCCCTCGAATACTAAGCTAAATAGGTAAAAAACTAAGAGTATACTATCGTAAAAAGCACGCGAGAGGCACTCGATAAATATACTCTATAATACGTAGTAGTATAGGGTATTACTAAGTTAGAATACGACTCGATAAATATAAGATAAACGTATTATTAGATATAGGCGTAGCAGGAAACTTTATCTTACTAGTAGCCGTAAGAAAGTTCTTTATACCCTAGGTTAGAAAACACTTAGAAGATAAGTATAAAATTACTCTGTATACGGGAAAGAAC